CATGCTGGCTGGGGAATTCTGGGAGTTGAAGTCCACTCATCTTAAAATGGCCAAGTTTGGATAACACTGACCCAGAGAATGCATCTTAACCTTTTATATTGGTGCCATCAGATTCTGATAAGAATCTCACCTAGATCTCCTAAATATCCAGTGAGTTGCTGCAAGAAGGGAACGTTCTTTTACCTCTGCTGGGGATGTGAGAAGGTTTTAGATTTTTAGAAAAAGAGGTTTAATAAACCAACTGTAATGAAACGGAAGAGTGAATTCTGCCAAAGTTGGCTTGCTCCACCTATTTGAACCAAAAATCGTAAAGTAAAAAACGTACGAATGGTTCTACTTCTAGCAGCCCAATTAGCTGTTGCTAAACCACAGTAATATCTAAATAATATCTCAATAGATGGATGGCGCGACAGGATCTGGTCTGCAGCTTTGCTTGAGAAAGTCCACCGTATGACAGGGCAAAGTGGGGAATCCTTGTCCTTCAAGGAACAGTGGGATGTCATTGTTTCTACAAGAGATCAGCGTCCTGGGAACAGCTTGTACCAAAAATGACGGGCAAGTTGAAATGTACCGGCACTGTGTCACTTTTAAAGTTGACTTAAAAATAAATAAATGGATCAATGAGTTTTTCCAGCAGATTCCCTTCTTTAAGGATAAGTGCCTCGTCCTTATTGCTGGAGAGAAGATCCTGGAACGTGAGACTTATCCCATGAAAAGAAATGTGAATTGAGCAAATGTTTTTTTGTTGTTATTCCAGCAAATTTTGTTGTTATTCCAGCAAATTGCTGCTTTCACACAATTTGATGGCCATGGAGGGAGAAACTCCCTAGCCTTTCACCATAGGATGATCTTACTCAACCTTGCCTAGCCCAGGGCCGAGGTCTTTCTGTAACATTAATGCATTATGCATGTCCAACCCAGCAACGATCCTTTTCCATGGGCTTAAAAGTTTCCTGCTTGCAAGTTTAATCCAGCTTCTTTTTCCTTGTTCTGAGCATCTCCAGGGAGAGGGTTGTTTGGGGATGAAGTTAGCCATCTGTCTTTGCTTTTGATTTAAAGTTGAGCTCCAACGCTGATGACTAACAAGTGTGTTCATGTCATTTTCCTGGCAATGGGAAGGGAGCGACTGGAGATCGTCCTATTCTGAGATTCTGCCTTGCTGCCTTCCCGAATTTCCCAGCCTGATCTCCAGCCCTGGGATCAGGGAGAAGTGGGTCTGAGCCTCCCCCATAGCTCTCTTTCACAGACTCTGTACAAGCGGAAGGCTGCCAGATCTGGGTTGCGATAGTCCGGGCCAGGGTTTCTCAACCTCAGCAACTTTAACTGGTGTGGACTTCAATTCCCAGAAGCCTTTTTCTGGCATGCGGTTGAGCATCGGTGCCCGCCAGTCCCGCTGCGGGCAAAGGCGTGCCAAGCCCCACGGGGCAAAGGCTGTCCCACCCTTTCGCTCTGTGAGCATGGCACTGCAGCCTCAGGTATTTCGGGTCATCAGTGAAGCAGAAGCTGCAACTGAAACGGAAGATGTTGGCGGGGGGGATTTCCCCCTGGCGTTTCACCGCAGCACGAACATGTCCTGGGGGGAGCCAGGGGACTGTGGGGATTAGGAACAGAGGCAGCGGCGGCAGGAAAGGGTGGCAGGTTTTTTTTCCAGACTTGTCTGCTGCTGACTCAGAGTTGTGTGGAGAGCCATCCAGGAGTGGGAAAAGCTCTGTGTGTGTTTCTGTTGTTGGTTTTGTGTTAGGTTTGCAGCTTTTTATTGTTTTATTGGCTGGCCGCATTGCCTCCTTCTTTGGGGCTGCTCTGAATGGAAAAGGCTCCGAACCGCTATTAAAAATGAGCCGGTAGGAGAGGCCCCTTGCAAACAGGGGAGGATTTCTTTCCCGTCTGTAAATCGACTGGCCTGGGAGAATCCCATTCTCTGTTGCCCTCTGTTTTTCAGCCTTTAACAGTCCTAGATTCCTACCAGCAACAAACAAAGGCGGAACCCTGTCCCAATGCACTCCATTCTTCTGATTTTTTTTTTCTTTTTTCTTTCAAACCACGGCCCAGTCAAGAGGAGCGGACTAGCCAGCCCGGGGGCTTCAGTTTTCCAGACCCATTTCCCTCTGTCCAACTGATCTAATTTCACCACCACATTTTTATCCTCATCTCCTAAAAAAGCTAACCCACAATCATCCTCTCTTCCTTCAATGTCCAAATGCTCGGGGAGTACCAAAAAATGTCAGTCAGCGTCCAACAGAACCCACAGCTTGGTCCTAGAGGAGCAAAAACTCTTTTCTGCACAAAAGGGGAAGAGAATAAATTTCTCGAGCCAGCTCCTTCGATGTCCTTAATTCACGCTGTGAGTCTCTTGCTGGTTGTGTCTTCAGCAATCTCCCTCAGCAATCTCAGAGGGAGAGCTGCCCAGCTGCTTAGCCACCCTTCCCTTTAAAAAGGACCTCAAATAAGCAAGTATGACTGAAGCTCAGAAGCTGTGAGGTGGAGAAAGCTCAACATTTCCCCCCCCAAAGATTTCTAGAGCTGCAATACATCAAACCAAACCAAGCCCCAAAACTAGCTATGTTCCAGTTTCAAGTAAGATGGAGTCATTCAAACAGAGCTGACCTTGTGGGATCCATAAATGTGTGTCAGCTGCTGCAAAGATTCTGCATGGAGGGAGAAGGTCCCACCTCCCCAGTTTAAAGGCATCTGCTTTAGGTTCTTCTGAACAAAGAGGTTAATCAAGATGACCCACAGGACCATTATGGTTTCATCTTCTGCCTTACATTCCTCCCCACCACCCCTTCCCAGCTGTGTGTATATCTCAGATTCATGTCCAGTAATATGAACGGCCTCACACACTGTGCTCGGGAGGGTTTTGTTAAACCAGGATTTGTTGATTAAGCCCCGGTAGCCTGCTTGACACCTCTAATGCTAAGCCACGCATCATGGTCTGCAAATGATAGCATGACAGTCCCAGTATCCAGCTTGTTTCTTCCATAGCTTATTTCCTTCCATCTGCTCTGGGCTGCTTGCAGGTTCTCCAGCTCAACAACCATTTACTCAAGAAGCAACTCGGCGGAAACCTCAGGGCCTCGCTCGCAGCAGACACAGCTCTTCTCTTTTGCACCTTGCAGGAGAAGCTGTTCAGTTCTCAGAGCTGCAAGAAAACTCAGTGGCCAGGTCCGTTTTAAAAATTCTGCACGCCAAACTGCAGAGGCCATAGACTGCATAGGTCTACTGTGGATGCCCCCCACCCCCACCCCCCACCATGTGAATTCAGGTCCTTGCATTCGAAACGAAAATGCATCAGCCCTCATGGTGTTGCATCAGCCCACCAGCCCTGTGGGCTGGCTTTCCAGAGCAGGAAAAGGAGAGAGAGGCTGTTTCTGCTCCTTAAACTGCTGGCAAGCAAACTGTGAATGGGCAAAGCCATAACTTAGGCACAACGTACAGATCGCAGAAACCCTGGAGGCGTCAATCTGGATCAAGCCAAAATTTCAAAAGTGGAATGCACTTGGGGCAGATACCGTACTGCAGTGTTTCTCAACCTTGGCCGCTTGAAGATGGGTGGGGGGAATTCTGGGAGCTGAAGTCCACCCATCTTCAAGCGGCCAAGGTTGAGAAACACTGCTCTATTGTAACACCCCAAAGATGTTTTTCACAGTTATCTCTGCATGCAGAGGGTGGACTGCCTGAAACACGTACATGCCATGAGTTCACATAGGAAATTGATCAACCCTGAAACAGGAAGGGGTGACACGGAGAGAAGGTTCTTTCTCAGCTTCTTCTCCCCCCCAGCCATGCTCAAAAGCAGGTAAGCAGACGCATATATTGATGTGGGATTAGACTAAAACCTAAGAATTTAGACATTGGCACGTGGTATCAAAGCGTGCTAGTTGCTGTGTTGTGTATTATGTCCTTACTTTACTTTCCTGGAGTGCCTGGGGTTCTTTTGGTGAAGTTCTTCTCCCTAAAGAAGGAGTAAAATCCTAGGGGACTTTGCCCCGTGGCCTTTTCTCCGTATGGGCACTAAGTATCCCACGCCCTGAAGCAAGTGGAGCCCAAAGCCCATCAGGTTCCACAGGGAGCTTCTCCCTGAAGCTTATGTCTGCTGGGGGACTTGTCTTAGAGAAGACCCTGGTCCTCAGGCATCATTCCAAGTGGAGACTGAGAAGAAGACCGTTGTTGGACCTTAACCTGACCATCCATGGAAGAGGCCATTGCCCCACCAGGGCGGTGGGTGGACTTCAAGGACTCTCAGCCAACAGAGGGAGCAGGAAGAAGAGAGATACATCCCCACAGGAGAAGACACGGTACCTTGGCAGAAAGCTTAGGTGGAGCTGACTCTTCAAGAACAGCCACCTTGACCTGGAGGCAGGGAAAGACTACACCTTCCCTTCAGGAAGGGAACAGCGGGTGACTGCTGGGGAGCCTGGCCTTAAGCTGCAGGAATGAGGAGGGGGGCTGAACATCTCTTCTGTTTTAATCGAGAAGGAGAGAAACGGGGAGGGACAGCTGAGGGCTGCCAGCCAGGTGGGCAGAAGGTTGCTGGGCGGAGGAGAGCCAGCTCCGAAGGGAGAGGAGGCTGACCTGTCAAGAGAGAGCTGGGCTGCTGTCACTGTCCCAGGTGGGGCCTGTCAACTGCCCCTCCCCTCCCCGGAGCGGGGGGGGGGCGCCTGCTCAGCCCCCCGAGATGGCCGTGGCCACCTGGAAAACTCACCTGTCAGCAACCAGGTCCTCCCTTGGATGGACGGGTGGACGTTACTCCCACCGGAGAAGTCCCGGTCCTCTTCACGGCGGCAGAGGGAGAGGAAGGGCGAGGTTGGCTCAGGAAGGGTTGAGCCCAATCCGTGAACCGGGGCAAGGCCAGGCAGGATCCTGGGGCGCCGCGAAAAAGAAGAGCGAGCGGCTGCAAAGCCCAGAGATTATGGGCAGCTTTGCTTTTAGCAAAGGGAACCAGAAGTTGGCCGGGGACTTTCAGAGGGTGGGGCGCCTCATGCAGCTTCTCTCAGCCAAGCGAGGCCAAATTCAATCCAAACGTTGCTTTCGGTTTTTCTTTCCGGGCAGCCCAGCTGCCCCTTTGCGAGCCCCCGCCCCCCCCCCCGGCAGGACGTCTCCCCGAGAGCTTGGCAAGAGCGGGACATGTCGCAATATCATTCCTGTGGTGCGTGGATTGCAGCTGATGCTAATCTTCCGCATGCTGGGCGTGCGAATGTGTGTGCGTATCTTTTAAAACCTTGTGGTGCTGCCATCTCAGGGGCGGATGTATTCTGGCCACGGATGTTGGTCTTGGTGTTTCCGTACTGGGCTTCCCTTGAGCATGCAGCTCTGCTTCGAGACCAGGGTTCGAATTAAGCACGACGACGCCTGCTGTGATCGCCTGAGAATTAGACTACCGGAAGGCTGCCTGGCTGGGGCTGCCCTTGAAGAGGCTGGCAGTACCAACAGTGCCGAGTCCAGGGCGTCCGAGACGGGCCCCGATGGCCGAGGTTTGCAAGACTAGGCTTGGCTCTTCCAGGGTCAGTCCCAAAGCTGTGCTAAAATCTGCCCTCCAGAAAGTTTCCTCCCCCTGCCAGAAAGGAATCTGCTTCTCTGCCTCCTGCGGGGGGTGCTTTGAGACCTTTTGGGGATATTTTCTCATTGCTTTCTGAACCAGCCGTTCTGCTTCCCTGATGCCAGGACCCACAGCAAGCTTTGCCCCTCGCTCTCTGCCCGCCGCCCCCCAAGGTGCCGTCGTTGCTGGCCGGACTGAGCCCACAGCAGGGTTCGGCACTGTTGGTACTGCCAGCCTCTTCAAGGGCAGCCCCAGCCGGGCAGCCTTCCGGTAGTCTAATTCTCAGGCGACCTCAGCAGGAGTCATCGTGCCTAACGTGAACCCTGGTCTCAAAGACCTGCATGCTCACGGGAAGCCCAGTACGGAAACACCAAGACCAACATCCGTGGCCAGAATCTACAGCGGGGCCCCTCACAACCAGAGAACTCTAGAGCTGGAGGGGCCCCTTGAGGTCATCCAGTCCAACCCTGTTCAGGGCAGGAGCCAAATTAAAGCATCCCTGAGAGATGGCTGTCTAGCCTCTGCCTGCACATGGGCAATGAAGAGGAGCAGGAACCCCCTAAAGCAGTGTTGTCCAAACTTGGCCACTTTAAGATGAGTGGACTTCAACTCCCAGAATTCCCCAGCCAGCTGGGGAGTTGAAGTCCACTCATCTTAAAGTGGCCAAGTTTGGACAACACTGCCCTAAAGGAGGGGATGTCAATTAAAAAAAAAACCAAACTCAGGCACGTTAGCTGGCCTTGGATTTTGATGGTGGCCAAGCTTATGAATGGGTTTTCCGCCTGCTTCCTTTTCTCAGCAGGAGAATAAAGGGTCTATGAACCCCCAGCAAAATGGTTGCCCTTAAATTATGATTCACATTCTAGAACCTTATTTCAAAAGGTCCTTTTTCATACTCGCACTTCTGTTCACCGAGGTGTCTGCAGGGGCTGCCACCAGACCGCGCAAGCCATGCTCCTCATTAACGTGCGTTGTGATGCATGTAAAAAAGGGATGGGTCTTAGATCACCTCTTGACTTTTTTGACCGCCAGACACCCCTGTCTGTTCACTTGATACACTTTTTAAATTCATGGGTTAAAATCCATTGTCGTGTCAGGCATTTCAAGTTTGGTCATCAGCTTTGACGAAAGCGTGATGCGTTTCTGGATTGGGAGGGACAGAACCCTTGGGTGGGGTGATGCGCGGACACTGTCCCCATTAGCTGGGGTCAGATTCTCCCAGCAATATTCCTGTCTGCTGCATTTCCCCTGGCGTTGCGTGGGCAAGGCATTGGTAGTCTTTGGAGTGTCTGCAGACGTCCAGAGGTGGGCGCAATTAGTGAACTCACGCCATGCTCACTTGAGAGCGAGGCACTCACTACCACCGAGGACAAGCAATTTGTCTATGGCTCTTCCGACGCTGCTTTGAAAAAACGCCTTTCTGAATTTTTTATCAGTTTGCAAAATGAGTCCAAAGAATTAAACCGGTAGATTCCATTGGCAACAAAATATTTGTGCGACATCAGAGTGAAAAACAAACGTGAAATGAGAAGCGAGTGGGCCCGTCACGAATGAAACCCAGAAATTATGCAAAAGTAACCAAATTCATCCTTCTTGTGCAAGTTTCACACCAACTTTTTAATATTTCCAATGCTTCGGTTTCATTTTATGAAGTTGTACAGTTTGATCATTCTTCTATTATTGGATTTACAGATTAAAACAGACTTGATGAAAGCAAGTGGCATCTTCATCTCTTGCCCACCCCCAACCCTAGGAAATCATTCATTCTATTCAGGAGGGAGGGTTGCACCAATTCATCAATGGGGCAGGGGAGGGGAACGCATTATCGCAAGTTGGGAAACACCTGCTACTGAGCATGGGATACTCAGTTATTTGTGCAATGAGAGTCAATTCATTATTTTTAATCCCCGAGGGACGGCAGTCTGATCCCCAATCAGCCTCCTACAAGGATGCTGTGCCAGCCTGTCCTACCTCTCAGGGTTAGCGGGGCAGGACCCTCTTGGTCCCAGAGACTGGGTTAGGCAGGCAGCGATGCTGTGCCTTTAAATGCCCGGGAGACTCGACCTGCCTGTGGTTCTCCCCAAGGCCTTGGGCTGAGCCCAGCCGGGTAAAGGGGCATCGGATGAGCGAGGCTGCCAGATTGGACACTGACCTTGCTTTGGGGAGTTTTCCCGTGTCCTTAAGTGCCCTGCCCTTGTCTGGCTGCCGAGCCATAGGGATCAACCACGCCCTGAGTTGCACAACAGCTCGCACAAAGCATTCAGCATTGCACTGGGTACACATTCACCGAACTTGCAACACCCGGACCAATAAACCTTTTGCATTGCCAGAGGAGGGTCGGTTGTTTTGCAAAGCAAATTCAGGCAAAGCCTCCAGTCCTCTTTCAGCCAAGCTCCTTCGCCTGGAGCAAACTCAGCTCTCGTGCCTTACTTATAAATGTTTTGCCCGTCTCTGGATCTGAATTTTCCCAACTCAGAAAAGAGTTTTTTCCCCCAGCTCTAATCTTTCGTTTTGAAAACGTTGAAATGGCCGGAAGCAAAACAGGAACCAGAAACGCTGCTGACTTAGCAAAGTTAAATTTGCAGAATGGAAAGTTAGGCTGTGTGTTTCTCATGCAGTAGAAATGCA